TTCTCCTATTTGTTGTATGGGCAGTAGAATTTTCCATATATCTGGGACAGGTGTTGAATCATTCCTATTACATGTATTTGCAGTTGATTCGATAAACAAAGCTTCTGTTATCAATCTCTCCCTATACCCTGTGACATTAGATTTTAAAACTGTCATCCTATCCCATCCTATTGTATGGTTGTGTGTAACTGCATGTAGTGCTATAGCTGAACTACTCTCTAGATTTCTTATCTTATTCGGGTCAACCAATCTAGATTTAGCTAGGTTTTTATGTTCGGCTAGTCTGACTGCCCCTGTTCTACTAGTTTGACCTATGTATTTGACCTCACAATCATTGCAGGGTATTAGATAAACTAAATTGTTTTGTTTTAATGGCTCTACAGGATCCTTTAACCGACAAAGCTTGTTTCTAATTGAGTTTGTGGGTTTGAATGCCACTTTTATTCCTGCCTTGTTAAGAATTCTGCGTAAGGCTTCCGAGGTTCCTTCTTTGTATGGAATTATTGTTGATGATTTACATTCCTTATTGTTGGTGTCGTTATTAATATTATTATTATTATTACTATTATTATTACCATTATTATTATTGTTATTATTATTATTGTTATCATTATTATTATTATCACTATCTCTGTTATCATTATTTATTTTATTTTTACATTTACTTACATATTTCTTGACTAATTTATCCGGGTAATTATTAAGTTTCAAGGCTTCTTTTATGTGTGTCACTTCCTGTCTTAGATTTTCCTTGGTACTACTTAGTTTTTGTGCTCTGTCATTTAAACATTTCACTAATCCTATTTTTACTGACATAGGATGGGATGATCGGAAATCCAAATATCTGTTTGAATGTGTGGGTTTTCTGTAAACACTAGTGTTTAGCTTCCCATCTTCTTTCCTTTTAACGTTGCAATCTAACATTGGAAGTTCCCCTTCCTGACTTTCCAATTCATAAGTGAATTGAATTGCCTCTACCTTCGAGTTGATGTGCTCGAAAAATCTATCTATATCTTGTGTTCTAAGTACAGTGAATGTGTCATCTACATACCTCCACCATACTTTTGGGGTGGGGGTGAACGTTTCAATCGCTATCTTTTCCCACCTATCCATGAATATATCTGCTACCACTGGGGATATTGGTGATCCCATGGCAACTCCCTCAGTTTGTTTGTATATTTTCCCTTGGAATTTAAATACTGTAGAAGTCAGGCAAAGCTGTACTCCCAGCATTATGTCCTCAATTGGCACTTTTGTCCTAAGTTCGAGTTCTTGGTCAGAAATGAGTTCGTTTCTGACCGCCTCTATAGCCATATTTATTGGTATACGTGTATATAAACTGACAATGTCAAAACTAACCATTTTTTCTTCATTATCTAATTTTAAATTATCTAATCTGTGTTTTAGTTCATAAGAATTAGTTAGTCTAGATTTCGAGTGGATTTTTAGGGGATTTAATACCATGGCTAAATATTTAGATAATTCATAGGTAGGTGAATTTCTAAAATCAACTATAGGCCTAATAGGGTATCCTGATTTATGAATTTTAACAACACCATACATCCTACTGGGGTTATTAGTTTTTGGCATTAAATTAAACCACTTAGACTCACCTAGAAACGGCTTCATTCGGCGTATAAGGTCCGCTGTGGATTTCTTAACTTTATTCATAACTGTGTCTATTGATTTATTAATTTCCTCATATGGTCCTGTTTGTATGTGAGTATTTACCTTGTCCAAATAGTCCGATTTGTCTAATACTACTGTTGCGTTCCCTTTGTCTGACTTTGTGATTACTATATCCTTGTTATTCTTGAGGTGTTTTAGGGCTTTTGTCTCTTGTTTTGTCAGGTTAGGTTTTCCACATTTTTGTCGTTTTAATGTAAGTGCACATTGTGCACGTACTTCTTCAGCTGTTGTTTTGTCTATCCCACTTAGTGCTATTTCTATTTTAGGGATGACATCCTCAGGTAATTACATTCTATAAGTCTAAAATATATTTTTCATGCAAATACCAACTACAACCCCCAAAACTATTTTAAAATATAATTTGGCTACATTTGCGAAAAATTATATTTGTAAAATCTCAGCGATATTGAAATGAGTAATTCCAACGTTTCCTGTGTTCGGCAATCTGGTCCGAACTTCTTCAGGGAAATTAATCGAAATTAACATAACAGAGGTTTATATATATAAAAGGAACATCTCTTGTTTTTAAAAACTTTGTCCAGTCATGATTTATAAAACAAATATTAACAAGTATAATAAACAAAATTGTACGAGTTGTGATCAAAATTTAACCTCAGACTTACAAATATTGATCTACCTTTGTTAAACACTTTAAACACAGTGTGTATGTGTGTGTGCGAATAAACAGTTGTAAAACAATGTCTTAACGTCTCCATAAGTAGATATAGACAGTCGGGAACTTTGACCAAGTATTATTAGTTAGTGATACATATCCATTCTTATTTATTAATCAGGATTTCCTATGCGTCATCTAACATTACACCTTCATGTCTGTTCAAACTGTTAGTATCTAGAATTTTATGATTAGACGTATTTTCAAAATTATGGTGTTTAGGAATAGAGTTTAGTTGAAGCGCCCTGTCAAAATTATTACTTTGTCTTCTTTCTGAAAATTGAACTGCTTTATTCGACCTATTAGAGTTGTCAGTTGACTGGACAGCTACGGATTTAGGATACGCATTCTGCTGCAGACAACGGAGAGTGGAAACACGATGATTGTGCCAATTACATAGTTTCTTTGTTAATTTAATTCGATTACAAAATAAATCAAATGAACTGTAGTCAAGATTTGACAGAATAGTTCTATAATATTTGGGCGCCGAGTGAGAAGTAGACATTTGTAAAAAATTATATTTGTAAATTAATTTCCCTGAAGAATTTCGGACCAGATTTCCGAACGAAACGTTGGAATTACTCATTTCAATATCGCTGAGATTTTACAAATATAATTTTTTACAAATGTCTACTTCTCACTCGGCGCCCAAACATTATAGAACTATTTCTGTCAAATCTTGACTACAGTTCATTTGATATAATTTGGCTACTTACAAGTAGTAAAAGTAAACAAAAGAAATTTTGCATTTTGGAGATAGGTTGTTGAAGCCCTATGTCCCACTCGGAACTCAAGTGAGTAACAATAATAATATTATCTACCGTCTATGCTAACTAACTGATTCTGGGTTAGTCGTTTGATTGACGTTTGTAGGCATCACTACTCGCAACTCCTATCTGATACAAATGAAACTATAGTGAAGTTAACCGAATTTCAGTATTGCTAATACTAATTTCAGAAATAAGTAGCTGATTATTTACAGATAATAAAGCAGGTTTTATTTCTGACACTCGTCTCTTCACGCAACACCGGTGTTAAATAGGGTTTAAGTGAATTCTAATATTCAATCACACAAGCATAAATATTTTTAATAAAATTACTTCTAAACTTCTGCTGAATGGATACAAGGAGAATGTTGTGATTTAAGAGGGTGGTTAGTATCTGATAAGTGGTTCTCAGCAAACGGCTTGCATGAATTTAAATGTCTGTCAATAATAATGCCAGTTAATTGATTCAAAGACTCAACACCAATCTTGCTGATAGCTTTCAAAGTTTTATGTATTATGAAGTCGTCTGATTTCAGAATCACAGAAAGGAAAATAGGCGTAATACATGAATTAGTAAACTAACAAAGAAGATTTCAAATTATTTTTAACGTAAGTCAAAAAATTGTCTTTTCTGAATAAGAAATATATGGGATAAACAACAATAAAAACAGAATGTTGCACGTTAAATTAAGTATGACTCGATTTATTCTCAACAACAACATCATATTACCAGAACATTGTTACTACAATAATTTACGCAAGTCTTGTACACGTCTGAAACTAAAATTAGGATTCTGTCATTTCGCGGGATTGAGTCTGGAGTTAATTTAATGAAACCACTGGTTAATTTCAGATAAAAAAACCTATTCATATCAGAACACATTAATACATTGACAGCCGGAACAAAAATTTTGAAGCCACCAAAATATTGTCACATAAATAAAAAGAAAACAGAAATGAAGGAAGTAAAGAACTCTAAGGCATATCAGCTTCAGTAAGTGTTGAATCAAACAGATCCAGGTAATTCTGGCATTTCCAAAAAATGAGAAGTCCACAACTTTGTGACTCAGCCCTCAAGGCGTGCTGAAATTAACTTCCTCGCCAAAATACCCCAATCACAAAATCACAAGCAGTACTGTAGTCTAATGAGGGCAGAAAGGACACACTTAGCACCTTTGTTTAGACCAAAGACAATATTTTGATGCTATATGATGACAGTATCTAAAGTAATTCTAATGAAAAGTGTTTAGAGTAACCAAAATATTTGACAGAGGCTTAAGCACAAATAAATGTAATTTTTCCAAAGTTTACAAAGCAGGTTGGGTGCAATGACGACACACATTAAATTAACACTAGAAACAAATAAACCAGCAGATTCTGAGCTATGCCTTTTGACAAATTTATATATTCTGGCTTCAGTTGTTATTACTGAAACCTGAGGCTTAATCAACTCCTTTTTTTATAAAGATGTTTTGAACATACTCTGAGGAGACCGTTGAGTAACGTCACGCACTAGGAATACCCTCTATTTGGACCAAAATGGGAAAGGACCAGTAGGGGTGCCAAGGATGAAATGGAGGATGGTCATGTGAGGAGGGAATGAAGCTATATGCAGAACCATGGAGGTGGCTATAAAAGAGAGTGGAGGACAGACTGGAACGCAGATGTGCTGCTGAAGCCTTGGAATTCATTAAGAATATATAAATTTATCAACATGGTACAAAACTGACACAGGGTTCAGTCTAACAAAAAGGAAGTCATCATATGGAATAATAAAGTACAATTTATGCATAATTATTCTGCAATAAAAATCATCACATATCTTCTTTATTCTGAACAAGAATATAAAAAGGGAAGAGGTGAAAGAGCCCCTTAAATACAGCTTGTGGCAACAGAATTCATAATTATTGAATTCTAGTCCAACCTAAACTTATATGCAACTTTTCCCTTCACTTCTGAAAGGTGAGTTGATTGGAGGAGGCGAGATCAACCTCCTCAAAGGATATACATGGGGTAATAAAAATTATTTTTAAGGAAATGAATATTAAACAATCTAGTCAGCATAAACACTAAGCGTTAAGTATATAGCACTCACTACTGCTCCAAGTAAATATGAATCTACCTTCGAACAGCTTTGCCCTGAGGTAATACAACACAATCTTCAATAGCACGCATTATCAGCTCAAAATCCATTGCTTGAATAGGTCTTAGGTGTACGCGTATAGCTGGTGTAAATGTATCACCATTCCGATAGACACTGAGAAAGAAAAGAAACAATATTTTAAGAAAACAATATTATTATATTATTTAATTCACTGAAATAACATGTCCATCTTCTCTAAATATTCCTGAAATATATATATATATATACATATATTATCAATTATTAATTTGAAATAGTTAATCGCCTTTATGGTTAGTCGGTGGTAAAGTACTCTCAACCCCCGCAATTAGCTCAAGTACGATTTATGGATGACGCCTTCGTATACCTCCTGACTTACTAGCCGAAAGTCCACCTCAGTCTCCTTTGGAAACTAGAAATATTTGATCTGTTTGATAAAACAAATGGCAGCCAAGAAAGCAAACTTAATAATAATCTACTTTATTCCAAAAACAGTACTTATAATACAGAATGAAATTCTCACCATTTGTCACAATATTGCATCTGATTTACTCAAAATATAAATAAAACTAAAACAAAATTAACCAGAGGAATTTGTCCACATTTACGGTATAAAGTCAAAAACGTTTGAAGTACAAAATAAGAATAAGAAATATAATAATAATAACAGTAAGTTTGTTTCAAACATTATTGTCGATTCAATTTGGAAATTTTAGTATGTTACAAATTACAGTCGAATTCGACTGGGACAACGTTCAAATATTAGACGGAGGAAACAACAAGAATGCTAGAGAATTTTTAGAAGCTTGGCATTCCAGTGGATCATCAATCAATAGACACATCGACATAGACAAAATTTATCAACCAATAAGAAAATAAGGAATAAAAAACGTCAAACAGAAAAAAAAAACGAAAAAAAACTGAATCTAATATTCTGTTGATATAGTATGCTAAGGGGAAGGACGAAAATTAACAGTTATTACACAGACTAAAAGACGTTAACACTTATGAAAAAGTAAACCACAAAAATGGAGAAGATTATAAATATAAGAAGTACAATAACAATAAAGCTTGATGTTATACGGGTGAAGGAAATGGTTTATTTAATAGTGCAAAGAAGGTTAGTTAGTTCATGCTTAACACTATTTTCATCACATAAAGTACGTGCCAAATATGGTATAGTGGAGGTTTTATACTTAGATATACGTGCATAAAGTCTTCTGAAAAGACTTCTTGTTTTACTTGAGGAGGCGATACAAGGTTGGAGCTGCGGGTCAAGTGGATGCTCACAGTCTGACAAAATTCCTTTAGCAAATTTTTTACATGACATCAAGTGCCCATCAGTGACAATGTCAACGACTTGGCCCAACGGGACACCACTCGTCCTACTGATAGTCTTCAGAGTTCTACGAAGTATGACATAGTCTTTTTTAAGTAATCCAGGAAAGAATAAGGGTGAACAGTAAAGAAGAATAGGTAAGATGCAAGAGTTTACAAACCGTAAGAGGAGGGTTTTAGTTATGCCTAAGTACCTTAACTGCTTAATGTAGAAATTCAGACGAAATATTCTTTTAGAAATCGCTAAGAAATGGGAAGACGAGGATAGGTCAGAAGAAAGAATTAATCCAAGATACTTAACATCAGACTTGATTTCTACATCAGTATCATCAATTTTGCAAGGGTCATAGGAACCAACAGCTTCATTTAACTCTCGTTTACATCGGAAACTGAAATGAACAGTCTGGCATTCGGAAGGATTCAGTTTAAGACTGTTACACGAAGACCATTTGCTAATTCCTGATAGAAGGTTGTTCATCTTAGCGCAGTCTAACTGGGAGTTAACAGACGCTGAAATAGTTAGATCATCAGCATACTTACCAAAGTTCATTTCATCAGAGTCAGGTAAATCATGCACGAAGAAAGAAAACAGAAAAGGAGAAAGGACAGCACCTTGAGGGACACCAGCCTCAGGAAGCAATGAAGTGGAAAACTTTCCCTGACATACAGTGTACTGCTTCTTCCTAAGAAATAAGAATGCAGTCATTTGACAACCCAACAGTCAGTTTGAGTTTCAGCAAGCTTGTTTACTAAAATGTCCCTAGGTACTGAGTTGAAAGTAGATGTGTAATCTAGGAAGGTACAGCGAACAAATTTAGCCCCCTTGTTTAAGCTGAAGACAATCTTATGACTCAAGACTGCAACTGCATCTAAGTGTACTTCTATTATGTTTGTAGGCTCATTGTTTTGGGTCATTAAAGGCTTTAAGTAAAGGTTAAAGATTAATTAAGAGTAACTTTTCCATAGTTTTTAGAAAAACAGAGGCAATAGCAATAGGTCTTAATTCAAACCATGTTCCAGGAAATGACTTGATAGATGACGTGATAGTGTACTCTGTTGATTGGTTGATATGTGTAGCTGGAGACGACTGACAATAAACAGTAGAGTTTGCAAGATAAATCGAAGTAATCTATATACTGGTATCACCACTGCTTGACAAAAGTGGCTTTTATCTAGTCAAATCAGAGAGTAGTATATACTCTAATAAAATTTATTTTCGCTGTATACTTTAGATTTTTTTCTTGTCTCATGATTCCTCTTTTAAGCAAAAAAGCAATTGTATCGGTCCTTGTGGATAAACGAACTTACATACTACTACTACTACTACAGTTATCAATGTATTCTCCTATTAGTTTGAATCAATGAGCTTTTTCCGTTAGATAACATCTTTTTCAAGCAACCATGTATTTTTTTCCTTCACGTTCCCCAGTGGAACACAGAGCTTCAAGCTAGTGGCTTGAAGTTTCTGTAGCAGTGTTAGTTTTACAGGATGGGGTTGCTGGCCTCATGCCTGACGTTTCCTCCTTACCAGCATTATTTCTGGCTTGGCGGGGTAAAGGAGTGGGTCGGCCAGGAATTGAACCCCGGACCATGTGCATGGTCAGCGAGCGTCCTAACCGCTATGCCACCGACGCACTAAGTGTACGGAGATATATATATAAACGTATGTGTTTATTTCAAACACTTCATGTCTTATAAAACGATGGATACTTGTTTTAAATCTAAGTAGAAAGTCGTCAATGGAACAGGTAAATTCAGTTGATGTTCACTGGTAGCTCAGAGACAGAATGCTCGCCAACCACGCCTATGATCCGGGGTTCGGTTCCTGGCCGACGCAATCTTAAAGAAGTGTAGGACAGAATCTGTGGTACAGTGGGCACATTCTCAGCCTTCGCTTTTCCCTCTTCACCAATAAGCATTTTTCAGCAGGTCACTTATTCACCACAAATCAGCAACTTAATGAGTTAACTTAAGATTCCTAAATGTTAACAATGAACAATGAAATAAAGCCATAAGTCCATATCAGTTTATTAGACAGATTACAGTACACAGTGGTAAAAAATAATTAAGGCTTGGTCTTGCCCTCATAATCATATTAAGGGGATACAACTGCCGTAGATATGAGAATAAAACTTGCGCACTATGACAGATTATAATTCCATTACGGGTAAAATTTGTTTTGATAAAGTCTCACAGCGTTATACAGTAATGTTTACAGTAAACATCAATTCTTATATGATGATGTGTTTCTTCTAATTCACTAAGTGTCAGTCAGATGCACCTAAGTGAATAATGATTGTACCGTTGAAACTTGTATCCAGTTTCCCTTGCTCAGAATGTGAAACTGTTAGCCACTTAGATAGTGAGTCATCGTCAAGATAACTTTACAAAGGGGCTCAAATACCAGTTGATGCTTATCACTTATATCCGAAAAGAATGAAATCAGATAGTTGAGAAAATGAACATAAATAATTAGTGTTTACTTAATATCTAGTGAATGCCATTACTCAGAAGTGTAGCGGGTAGCGTTTTGAAATTCGAAGAGAGTGGCACTGAGTTTTAATCTAGCACACATAGTCAGTCAGTTTTTGTCGACCCCTTGTTTTCGGTGAGTTTATGTCAAGTTACAGAAAGCTAAAGAATAGTTCGACAATTAGCTGCAACTATAGCACTATCCATACTTCAGAAATAGTGGTAATCACTGTAAACTCTACTCTGACAATATCGAATGCAGATAACACTATGTATTAGAGCAGGTGTGTTAAATAATTGTAAACATCACAGCAGTTTTTATCACAGAATGGAATTACCTGAAAATCAAAGATTTTTAGTTGAATGTTAAATTCTGTTTAGATTCCTTTTAGCAATACGCTCACTCAACCTTTGCTCTCCTATAGTCTTCCGATAGGCACATCATCATCGACCTGCTCGATCACAGCTCAGCAGTCAATTCTTTCCGCACATTATTTTCCATTCTCCACATACTGTGTAGCCGCTGTAAATTAGCTCGATATTTTAATTTTAATAAATTTTATTTTCTTTAGTTGGATTTTTAGGATTAGTTTTGTTTTTACGAGTTCATCACGGGTTGATATCAATTAGAGAACCATTGAGAACCGGCAAGAAGTTCTGGACGGTTGTTTCATCCTAGTTTGAGAATCATCTGCAGTACACACTCAGAGCCAGGGTTCGAACCCAGGACCTTCCGGTGACAAGGAAAGCTCGTATACCACTCAGCCACTGGAACCAGATTTAATGGCTCAGCAATCCTAACTGCTGAGTGTGTACTGCAGATGATTCTCAAAACAGGATGAAACGACTGTTCAGAACTTCACGCCTGTTTTCACTGGTTCTCTAACTGATATCAACCCGTGATCAACTCGTGAAAATAAATTTTCTAACAGAATTCTTTATTTTAGATATACTTACAATATCAATTTAACATTTCTTCCAAATCCATCTGATATCCTACCCATTTGACTGCGAAGTCGAATATGGCGTCTTCTCCAATACTGAAACAGAAATAAAAAAACACCCAAAACCATTGAGTAACATATAGAAAGAAATAAAAGTTTTAAAGAATGTTAACAGAAATTTATGTTTGCTTAAAAGTCTGCATTAGGTGAAGTTTATCAGTAAGGAATACTTCAAGCTATTAAAAAGTTGATTTCTATTCAGATATTGGGATTAGTTTACCTTTTCAATATTCTTAGAGAGTCTTTGGTGTGATTGGATTAATTTACCGTGCTCTAGGAAAAAGACTGTACAGGACCTGAATTTTGCTGATGATTTATGCCGAATGTTACACAATCTCAAAGATCTGCAGGAGAAAAAACAAACAAGTTAGCAGAAGCAGCAGGCAGTGAAGACAGGTGACCATAAAGAAGATGGAGGTGATGAGGATAAGCAGCAACCAACAGCAACAACAATAGGCAGCAATCACTATCAGAGGGAGAAATTTGAAGAAGGTCACTTCTTTTACTTATCTGGGAAGCATTGTTTCAACTACAAGCTACATAAATGAAGATATCAAGGCCTGTGAGGATCAGGAGGATAAGACACACTCTTACTACTATAAAATCAGTGTAGAAGTCTGCTGCAATCTGCGTAAGGAATTCAATCAGATCCTCAGTGCTAATATCAAGTCAGTGCTTCTGTATAATTCAGAAAGTTAGCGCTCACGTCGCGCAATGAATTTACAACGGGCTGCTGACTTTTATTAAGAGCTACCTTCCCTACCTATCAAAGATCAGATGACTGGAAAAGGATATGCAAGTGACAGAAAGGTCTGGCGATGAATCAACGAATAACCTATCGCCCAAAAAATATACAGATAAAAATGGAAACAGGCTGGTAACAAACTCAAGGGACTGCTGAGTAACATCACGTATCAAGCAGATCCTCGAGCAGGAATGACGAGCTGGATGTGCATTTGTGTGTAGGGCATGGTGAAGATCATCTTAGATGGAAAAGGAAGATCATGGGTGACTGCGTGGCACAGACTTTAGGCAATACAGTGTAATCAGACTGTGCTTCTGAACCTCAATGTTCCACTCCGAACGTGAGAGAATAAGAGTACTGCATTAATTTTAGATAGCACGCATGAAAACCCAGTTGAAGTTTACAATAACTACCAACATGCAGCCTAGTTCCTGGTGCAAAGAAATTTGTTATTCTGCTATTTCTGGGTTCTTTCAGTTGAGCTTTTTAATTGCGAAGCTTCCAATTTCTTCTTAAACAGCACTAACTTTAAGATGAGACGGCCTTTCGAATTCCTCGTGAATGTAGTAACTGTCACTTCTGATTAATTTAAAATTGATTGGCTATCTGCGGAATTTCGCTTATCCTGTTGTTAACTTCTGTTGCTTTGTTTATTTGGCTAACCCTTATATATTCAACCTGTTCCCTTAGCTACTTATTCTTTATCACCTGATAACTTTGATCACTAGCAACGGAAGTGAGCCGAAGGGTGACGAAACATTGGAAGACAACCTCTTGCATCTTAAAGTTGACACTGAACATGTTTTCTGAAGAGGCAATGAGACCTCCTCACTCAAACTAAGCAGCATCAAAATAATCCACATGACCTGTATATCTTCCCTTTCACTTTAGATACGTTGTTTAACATAAAAGATTTTTTGTCCTAAACTGAATATCTTGAACTGTGGCAGCATGTGTAGTCCTGGTTACTTACTAACTATTTAATATAAAGTCAATGACTGATTGGCGACATCAACTTTCTGATATCAATGATTTACACAAACTCTTTTTAAGATCATCAAGTGATGTAATTTGGCAGTATAGCTGAGGTAAATTAATGTAGATTTCGGTACAAACTGACATCAGTTTTAAAACAATGAAAACAAGCACCGACTATACAGCTGTTTCATCTTAGTTCATCAGTGAGTACCTATAAATTCTCCAGGCGTCAAGCCTAGGACCTTCACGTTACAAGGACAACCAGATGACCGTTCAGCCTCTGGGTCAGAATCCAGTGATTATCACGGCAGGGTAAATTGGACCCTCATGGATGGTACTCACTAGTAGTGAGGCTAATCGCTAAATTACAGAAATCAGAATGCACGTATCATCGAATTCCGACCTAATGGCTGAATAGTCAATAGGTTGGCTTTGTAACTTGAAGGTCCTTCAGTCGATCGCCTATAGAGCTGTGAGTTTTCACTGTTGTAGGGTCCCCAATTAGGACAAAACAGCTGTTCAGTTAAAGCAGTTTGGTTTTAAACATTTGTTGGTTCCTAAGGAGGTCTACACAGAAATTAATTCGATTCCCCACAAAAATCATCATCTGAAAAGTTGGATTAATTATAATAACTCCTTTGTCAAATTCTGAAGTTATAAAACCAAGAAATTTATCGCATGACGGTCGTTAAGGGTAAGAATAAAGGTTGTTAGAAATAGTAGTTTGCCGGATAGAATGATATGACTTTGAAGTAAAAGGCACAATAGTAAGCAGTCCGCTTTGATGGTGTTTTAAATGAATGTGAAATCCAATTACCCAACTGAGGATATAAAAAATAATGACTTCATGATATGTTCGTGAAATTTTAAATTCAATTTATCATGAGATAACCTATGATTAGTGGAATAAGAGATGACGTGAAAGGAATACACTAATATGATAAGCTTAATGTCATTTGAAAGGATGTCACGTAATAATAATAATAATCTTTCATTCATAATAACTTTTTTGACGTGGTTTGTATGTCTGAATATTGTAAGGAACTCCGGAAGCGCATCAACCAAGAACACACGATCCAATAGCTATGCAGAAGGAAATGGACATAGACTAGACATACGCTGAGGAGACCGTTGAGTAACATTACGCGGCAGGCAGGTCCTTGAGTGGAATCCCGATGTGAACTGATGAGTTGAGTGTGGGTCATAGAGTGACATGGATAAGATCGTGTAAAGAGAAGTTGAAAGCTGGTGGATAGTAATGGAGCCAGGTGAGAACTGTGAGTTGAACAGGACAATAAGGCATCATTTTATTCCATCAGTTCTTGTCAAATGCATGCTTCTTTTTTCCAGGAGAAACTTGATTATTGTGATTCTGATCAATTCCCTTTGTCTCTAAAGCCGAAAGTCAAAACAGATTCTCATCCTAAACGTCCATTTTCGTATGCTGTAACCGCAGTGGTTGATAAAGAGCTTAATGGAATACAAGAATAAGGTGTGATTCAGCCAGTAATATATCCACCATGGTCTTCGTTGGTATTAGTTCCACGCAAAGCGAACTGGTCTATTGGTCTACTTGTTTAACAACCCATTTGGAAGACTACGTTTATCCGCTAACACTTCAGGAAGACACAGTTGTTAAGCTCACTGACATTAATACTTTATCAGAATTGGTCTTGCGGATGCTGACTTTCAAACAGGAACTGAACCAAGTTCCTGACAATCAAAAACCATCGGTGTACTTAGCAGTATATTCAATAAATATTTGATATAAAGTCAATACTCACAATATTCCAGTAGATCATGAATACTATGCCTAGCAACTCATCTGGTGTTGTTGTCTACTTAGACGATGTGGTAATCAGAGTTATTAGTAGGTTTAAATAATCTGGCTGATTTGATGATTTATTATCCCAAATGTCACTGTTCGGTTTTTATCTGAAAGAGGACAAATGCACATTCCTGTAGATTCAGGAAAGTAACTTGGTTTCATTTTCGACAAACCTGGATATTAGCCAGATCCAAATACTGCAGCTGCTCTGTGGAATTTGCCTAGTCCCCCCGATACTAAAACTCCACTATCTACTATTGGTTGCATAAACTATTACAGCGGGTTCTTAATAGAGCTTCATTGCATACATTTTCCACTAAATCGCTTAATGCAGTGAAACGAATCAGGAATTGGTTTCTTCATTTTCAACATGCAACAGAAAAAGTAAATTCCTCTCTCACGTTAGACATTCCATTTACACATTATTGTTCTTATCTGGAAATTACTGCCATTAAGCATGCATCGGATTACAGTCTTAGTATGATCAACGGTATTCACGTGAGAGCTTTCATAAAGCTAAAAGGAGGGAAGAGACGACCGAGAAAATCGCTCATAAATATTTGCTGCTTTGTCACACGATAAGGAAACCCTTGCGTCCCAAAACAAATTATTTCCAGCGGAAACTATGTTTGTTCGAAAATTCAAAACTGTTCCAGAAGTAATGGAACAATGACGAATGAAACCGGGCTGAAGGAATATCAGCAATGAAAGTGAGCTCAGTCATATATGAGATTGGGCATAGAAACCAAACGACACAAAGCAAAACCTTGCAATACACATTTTAGCAGTCATTTTCATTATTCTGCATCCAAATCACAGGATATATATACTGGCGTATCCACCTTCACTTGAAGACTAGTTAGATAAAAGACAATAACTGATTAAAAATGCACATTAAAATTTTCAAAAGAATGTATACTGAACAAAGAATACTTTTTTCGACAACTTCATTCTCAGGCTCTACAGAAATATATACATATATATATATATATATATATTATAGTGAATGAATGAATTAGTGTTAGGAACAACATTAATGTTGCTTAAATAACATAGAATCAATAATAATAATGTCAGTGGATTGCATTTCAATAGCACCAACATAGAATAAGCCAAATGTCAGAAAAATTAGGAAAGATAATATCACAAATTCATGAATTTATAGTCTCTACTGAAGGTCAGGGCAATAGTAGGAGCTGGACTTGCTTCTTTTAAACACAGAGCACTGGTTGTTTGAGGCGAATTCCAATAACCTCTGCTGTTTGGAGCATGAGGTGCTTCGATGATTTTGACAATTTATCAGTCACCCGGTAAATGATAGAGAAGGATTCCCCTCCACACTGACTTTGTGGCCGGTTTGTACCAGATGGTCCAATATCGAACTGTTAATGGTTTTCACCACACCTTTACTTGGCCATAATGGGAGATGTTTTCGAGCATGAAAAGTCAAGTTCCTAGATCAATGGCCGATATAACTCGCTCCAC